CAGTTCAGATAGCAAAGAGATGAAACCAAAACTGGATGAGGGGACAAAAAGACAAAGTGCTGCAAAGCTGAATGAATGTTCAGTGGTAGAACTGACTTCAATTTCATTTCTCTACTGACAATATTTTAAGACTGCAAGAATGCCTAAAATGAAAAGGAATCCATGTCTTTGTCTTTCATTCTTACCTCCATGTGAGAGAGTTTGATTCAAGATGTGAGTTTTTGTGCAAAGACTTTGGGGCTGCCTTCAGTAGCTTTAAGATCACAGTTGTATTTGGCATTAATGTGTGGCATCTCAGTAACCCTTCAGAATTTCAGTGCACTCCCTCTCACTGTTTGCTTTCCCACAGCCCTTAGAATATCAGCTGAGATTTCCTGGGGACAGCAATGCTTCATTCTCTCTCCCTGTTGTTTCTTTTAATATGCACCTTCATTCTGATCCTCAAAATGTACTTTTACAGTTATAGCATGCACAAATATCACTCGAGATCTGTATTTTCTTACGTTTTTCAGGTTTTGTGGCCTGATTCAATTTCAAGGAGATATGAGAGAGAAAGTTTTGTTTCAGCTGCTTCTCCTCCTTTGCCATCCATTTCCTGTGGTAAGTCTTGAAGAAATTGCGTAGTATCAATTATATTACTTTAATATATATGAAGTTTAAAAATAAGAATGTTGCTTTAATGTTCTTCAAAGAGACAGTGATGTAATACCAGGTTTTATTTCTCAAGGGTGTGTTCTCTGCTGTACTGGCACCTGAAGCAGGTTAAGTAACTGAAACAGGGCTCAAAAAATGAGCTACTGCATCTGAGGATGTGCAGGGGAGAGATTGAGTGTGGGACAGCATCACAGCCATTAGAATTGGTTGGGGTTTTTTGATTCTGTAAAGTTTTTGGGAGAACATGAGGTCCTTTGTACCTGATGTGGTAGCCCAGAGTGATGGCTGCTGTGGCAGCTGAACCCAGTAATGAGCTTCCAATGGCACTGGTGTTCAGGGCTTCATCAGGGAATGCTGGCAGGAGTGCTGTGAGGAGAGGCAGCTTCAGGCCTCAGGTAGTGCAGGAGAAGCAGGGGCTGTCAGATATAATTACAAGGGCACATAACAATGTGGAAACCAATGAGATATTAGAATGGTTTGAGAAAGCACTGCGTGCCCTGGTTTCTGGCCAATACAAACCTGCACTGTTTATTCTAGCACTGATTGTGTTTGTGTTCAGGGCAAAATAATATGGTGCTCAGCAAAGTTGGATGCTTTGGAGTTTTGGTCCAAACATTTCCATGCTGTGTTCCCTTGCTACAGGAAGAGAACCTTGCAGGAGGAGCAGTGTAAGAACTGAAGACAAATCATTTCATGTTTCACATTATAATATATCTATCTTTTTATAGAGCAGTCTATTTAAATTGGCACCACTGCTCAGGAAATAAGCCCATAAGCTCAGTAAATCATTTTAAGTAAAGAAATGCTCCCATTAGGCTGTTATTAACATTTGAATTTACTCCTTGTGAGGGACAGGTCTGAAATGTTTTCCAAAAGGTACTTCTGTGACCCTCATCCCTTCTTCCTCAGCCAGCACCAATAGGAATGGAAATGCCTGCTGGGCTCTTCCCTGCAGCACTCTGGATATTTTACTGAAGCTTTCTCTGCCTCTTCCTGTAGATACGGAAAACAACAGCCAGTCAAGTTTATGAAATGTTGATAACCTACAGTGAAATAGTTGATCCTGCCATTATAGACGAGGTGATGGCCATCCTCAGCGATAGTAACTGGTGAGTGAGTTTGTTCTCAGATGGTAATAACAGCTGAAACAGTTTTTGTACCACTGAAGTTGAAAGAAAGACATCCACACCTTTAAAGACTGCACTGACCAATGCCTGAGTGATAGGTGTTTAATTCTGGCAGGATTTTGGAAGAGAAAGGATCCGTGCAAGCTGTAAACAGCAATTAACTGAAATATCATTGCTCGAATTTCATCGGAGCTCAAGTTGCCCCACGCTGCCTCAAAGAGTAATATAGGAGAAGGTGTTTTTAAGAATATCAAGAACGTATGTCATACATATTATTATAGTAACTGTTTTTTTCTTCACTATATTTCTTGGAAATGAAATAAACACAGGCACGTTTCAAGAACAAGCACACCTTAATGCTGTAGTTTGCATGCTTACATTATTGAACTTGCATTTAATTTCCAGCTTGTTTCTGCATTTGAGCTTAAACAAATTTGGGAAATGAAATTAATGTCTGCTATTGCCAGGGGTGGCTGCTTCACTTTTCCCTGAGATTTCAGTATAGCAGTCACAAATTTGGAAGAACTGCTTATTACCAGCGGTTCTGCTTGCTTGTTTGACTACACATTGATGTTTAATGTTCTGCCTGGGCTGATTCAGTGCTTGCTTAGGAAATCCAAATTAAGAGCAGGCTTTCTCAGCAGTTTAAACTGCGGCTGCTACAGAAACAATTGGTTAACAGAAACAATTGATAAGGCTTAGGTTGCTGCTGCTTACAGTTGCAAGATTAGAACACACCAAACTGCTACAGGGAAAACAACCAGTAGTGTGGAGCTGCTCACCAAAACAAAGCAGTGAACTTCATACAGGTATTTCAGAAAAAATACTCTATTATTTTCACCTTGCCATTTTTAAGCTGTGACTGCCTGCCTGCTTTATTCCCTGTCACAATATATCCCTTGCACTGAGATTAAAGATGAAGAACTTAAAACTTGTTTTATCATGTTAATTTGGACTGTTTACAAAGGAAGATAGATGAAGTCATAGCTGAGTATCATAGAGAGCCCTTCTCAGTGCTAAAACACAGTAATTGCAGCAGTAAAATAAGCACTACCATCAGGAAGCCAAATGAGAACTAAATATTTGGGGAAGACAGTAGTTACTGGAATATGCATTTTTGTAACATTTTCTTTCTTAGAATGACAGAGAGTTAATCATACAATTGTACAATTCCAAGTTTAAACAATTACACTATAAATAATAACATTTTGTTTAGCTACAGGAAAGTTTCCAGTATTAAATGTGACACATGACATGATTTACTGATGGGTCATGGTAGGTCACCTGGATGGTTGGACGTGGTAATCCTGAAGGTTTTTTCCAACCTTGATGATTTTATAATCTTCAAGTGTTCAAATATATTTTTATATATATTGTTCAGGTTACTTTTTTAATTAATAAACTTAACTTGTACTTTTGCTTTTTCTCTGTTGTTTTTGGAATCAGTTTACTTGCTAAGAGTTAATTTTTCTAATCACTCATTTAGGCTTAAGAAAAGCAAACTGTATCTGCTGATTGAGCAGCATTTGTTATGTTGTAAAAAAATGTATCTGTAAAAGAATGTCATGTTTGGATTTTGGCATTTGGGGCTTTTTGTAACCACTGCTGAGGAAATTCTCCTGTGAACGTTTTGTTATTTCTGTAACTTTTAAGAAGTTCTGCTAGCATTAGGTCTGGATTTTCAGTGCAGGAGAATCTCTGCATGGCAGCACGTTCTCTAAATCCAGTGGCACTTAGTTACATTTTTGATATGGTGTTTTCTAAATAAATGAGAAAATTAATGAACTTTTAATCAAAAAGCTTTTATGAAGAAAATTACTTTCCAAAATAAAAGAAATTCTAAAAGAATAATTTTAGGAGTTGAACTACTAACTGCCATCTCCAGAGGAGCTCGTTGGGTATTTATGGTTTATCTGGCTTAAAATGGTGCAAAAAGCTCACATTTTTCTAAAATTGCAATGTAACAAGAACATCCAGTTTGAGATATACTTGAAAGAATAGACATATGCGTAGTGATAAATTAAAAAATTGATAGCTTACACAGCCAGCATTGGGTTTTTATTTTTGAAGTGATTGGAACTTGCTTCTTTGTGCAGGGAAGCTGAAGTAGCAGAGCTACGAGAGAAACGCAACCACCTCTGTGACCTTCTGAAGGTGCCCAAACCACAGCTGGTAACCAAGGTAAGGTACAGCAGTGCTCCTGAGCTTCTGGGAAGAAGCATTGTAATGATCAATTGTTCCAGTAACTGAGGGCATTTCGTAAGTTCTGTGCAACAGATGTAGTTCTTCACAGGTTCATGAATGTAGGAACATCCTCACAGCCAAGTACAGAGTGCATGGAATTGCTGAAAACTATTCTCTTAAGCCCTTCCAATTTCATTTCTTGAAAGCATTCCAGAGTTGCAGTGTGACATCTTAGACAAAATGCAAGAATGAAATAATACAGCACAGATGTTTCAAAAACTGTTTGACTGTCCTTTCTGGGGAAGAAGAAGGGGTAACGTTGTCCCATTCCATTTTAACCACAAAATTGTAATGTGTGCTGTTGCTGCAAATCTCAGAACTCTTAACACAGAATAGATTCTGGAAGTTAACACGTTCATAAGATGACAATGGATCAGTTGTAGATTTTTTTTCACTTTAATGCGGACAGTTTGGAACTGCAAACTCTATTTCTAGAAAGACAGAACCTTCTGCTTTAATATCTAGAAGAGCTGGTCTGTTCTGCTGTTTAAAGGTGAGGCTCAAGTAAGCAAGATAAGTAACAAACAGGGAAGGAAAATAGGTCTTAGCACGTTCATCTCAAGCACTAAATTACTGGATAATGGCAGGAACTGTTCCAGTTGTAGGTGATGAAATTCAGCATGGCAGAGTCCTTTCTTCTTTCTGAAATTTACCATTGCTGGATAAATGGGATTTCTTTATGAGAAGACACTGCTGTCAAATAGCATTCCTAGTTGAAAGATTTCAAAATTTCTTCAGCAGTGCAAACTAAATCTGGCAAGCAAATGCTCATTTTCCTTCAAGAAAGCTTCAATACAGAGCTGTTGCAGTACTGCACATAGCCTATCCAGAGAACTTTCAGAGTTTGCTTTAAAAGTGACACTCTGAACTTGAAAGACTTGTTGCTGCTGTCCTCATCTCCTACCTGCAGCCAGCTGATTCCCACATATGAGCTCACGTATCCCGAGAACAAACAGCAGCAGAGAATGCCAAGCATTATGAAAAGATGAATTAATTTTATTGAAGTAAATAAACAGTTATTCCTTTAAAAATCTGTACAAACCAAATTTACTGATGGGTAGTTAAAAAATTTAACTTCACATTTCTACATTTTCTTACTTAGTTACATACACAACTGTGCTGTTGGTACAACTACACTATGTGCTGCTCCACCTCTTTTCTCTTTCTCTCTTGCAGAGTTCAGCAAAGTGAAGTTGCAGTGCTGGCTTCTGCTTTGTAAATTGAAGCTCTTGGTTCAGGTGCTGCTGTGGCATCTCAACACATTGGATTTTCAGCATTGCTGCAAAGTACACTGGTGAACAAAATAAGAGGCAGAAGCTGCCTTACGGCATCGTGCAGATTTGCCCACCCTGCGAGGGCAACAATTCATTATGTTGTCTTTTTCTTAATTCATTATCTGTAGCCACAAGATGGCAGTTTGTCTTCATAGCTTCATTGCTCTGTCACAACTGACCTGTGGGTTTTAGTTGTTTTATTTTTTTCCCCCCATGTCAATGATTTACACTTCTCCAATTCTGAATGGAGCCATTCAACCTGCGCTTGCTGTTTACACATTAAATATTAAAACTGAGTTACTGCATTACTCTTACAAAAGAATTTTTTTTGCTGGAGGTAAGGATGGCTATACTTCTTGGTACTTCATCTTTAGGAGAGTTTATGGGCGCAGGTAAGTATGCCATTCTTACATCACATTCAAACAAAAAAACCCAAGTTTCACTTCACTAACACAGAAGTGTTATTCAAGCAAATGGTGTAGTAAACTAGCTTGAGGAACTGAAGTTTTATCTTTTTTATTTTTCCCTCACCTCAGAGGGGAATCAATTCTTCAAGCAACTGGCAGGAATTCAGACTATTCCTTATGGACTGTAAAATAAAATAGTTGCAACACTTAATCTTCAGTAACATTACTGTGATTGTAGGGCAGATGCACAGGTAACATGATGTTGTTATCATTACATCTGTTTTTTGATGGTTCTAGTTAATTCTACTCTCCTAGCTCTTCAAATAGAACAGCAGTCAGGGACAGTACATATACACACACCTAGGGAAATTTGAAAGGAAGGAAAATTTCAAGAGAAGCTAAAGCCAAACATGTTTCTCTGTGAAGTACCTGCTATCCTGAAGTGCTGGTGTTCATTTCCAAAAGTACACTTATGTACACTGCAAGATTTTTTTTTTTAAGATATTGCAAATGACATATGTTATTCAAAACTTCTTAATTATACTTGCAACCTGGACTGGCATATGAAATTCAGTGTAGATTGATGCATGGCATTCTGTAACTATTAAACAAATGAGTACTTAGTTCAAATACTGAGCTGGCCATGTGGCTGCGTACAGCACAGTGGTTCTTGCAGGTGTCACCCATCCTGTTAGGCTGTCATTAATAGCCTTATACAATGTACTATAAATTTTCATTTTGCTCTTGCAGAGTTTTGCTGCATGAAAAATGCAATTTGTGTTGGCAGAACCTGCTGATTACAAAAAAAATAAGTTTCAGTGAAAAACGTATCTGCATGCAATATTTGTGTGCCTGCCAAATAATGTTACACACACACTTCTAACAGCCCTGAATCAGAGGATGCTGTACTTAACCTCAGTACTGGCTGTATGCAGAGCTTCACCTCTGAAGTGCCAGCTGTTGCTCTCAGTAGCAGGAAATGAAGCCAATAGCAGGGACAGGTTGAGGGCCCCAGCCAGTGTTTGACAGAAAACTCTCTTTACACTCCCATGGTTATAGGCTTTGCTTGATGCATTTTTAAGACTTCCCTATGGTAACAATGCTCTTGTTGTCTTTTGGACCATATTTGATGATTATGTCAATTAGAAATACAGTTTAACAACCAAAATGAGCTTGGTAGGTCAGTGCTGTGCAATAGTAAAATGAGTAAATACCACTATAGTGGTGTTTGTAAGGGAGGTGCTAAAAAGGGCTACTTGGAATAAAGATTAATAAATCACAAATTACTAAGAATTTCTAACACTGGTCCTCCAGCACATGCTATTATAGATATAATACACAGCTTTGATGTTGCTGCCTTACCTTTGCCTTTAGTTAAAGTGATAATAATCCATCCCTTCTTTCAAGTTCAGCATGTTCAAGTTTGTTTCAAATGCTCCTCCTGTCAAATCCTATGAGGGGGGAAAAAACCCCACAAAAACCAGACAAATGTTATTTCAGGTTGTAACAGGCTTTGGTAATTTGGTTCTTTAGACCACAGGAGGAAAAAAGCCCCATTTGCAGAGTTAAACATAAGTAAAACGAGGCTTAGAAATGTATCTGTTCACAAATTAGGCATATGTTGAGAAATTAGCATTCAAGTTAGTATCTTTGGGGTTGTGGGTGGATATTAGATAACTCATCATTCTAATGCACTGAAGTAGAACATGAGGACAACACTGAGAGCTCTGAAGATAAATATCTGCAACTCTGGGTATTTTGTTTTCCACTGAAGGCATTTGCAGAGAAGAGACCAAGGGAATGAGTTTGAGATACAACAGTGACATTGTAGATTTTGAACAATGATTAGCTTGGCTGATGAAACAAGCCTTTCATCGAGCAACTGAAATACTTTGCTTAGGTAAAGGTGTTTCCTTTTAAGCTGTCATTACCTTAACTGAACAGGAACCTGGTAGGTTTGCTCCATGAGTCATTTTTCAAGGCAGCAAGACAGATCCTAACACAGTTGTGATGTCATTAAAAGAAAACATGCCAACATCAGTGTTTCTGACACTTCTGTGTTGGCCTTACTGAGTTCTACTTCAGGAGTATCACAGAAATGAATTAAAGTTTTCTGGTCCAGAGTAGCAATATTGAAGTTGCACAACACTCTGCAGGTGTTTTGGACAGGAAGTTACAAAACTAGAGCCCAAACAAAACTGGAATTGAAGGAGGAATGCTAGACTTTGGCTAGAATAATTGGCTTCAATAAAATTGCTCTGGGACTTTCTATAAATCTGAGTTCAGAAATAAAGTTTCCTGACTTCCATGGAGGACATTCAGCTTCCAGCTCATCTTGGACCCATCCGCTGAAATGCTTATAAAAATGCTCACACAGCATATAGGTGTTTCTTAGAAGCCTTCCACTCAAGGAACACAAGACCATCTCAATCAACAGTCCACCCGATACAAAACAACCTGACCTGTCCACTCCAGGCTGCTCCTTAAATTTATATAGGAAATGCTGCATATCTCAAAGCTTGGCTCAAACCAGCATGCTGTGCTCAGGCTCAAAATTCCCTCCCTTCTCTCCTATGTCAGTATCTTCTACCTGCAGTGTTTCTCAGTTTTCACTGGCAATGCCAAAGTATACAGAGACAACGTTATCTGATCCAGAACTTCAATAAAAACAGATCCACCACAGTCATAAAATTACTTGAGCACTGTTGTTTACAAACAATTAAACAATGATAACAGCTAATGAATAACTTGGAAAAGGGCAGAAAAGGTCTCATGGCAGCTGATTTTTAAAGCAAGAGCTCCACTTTACCTATCTAAGCCATTGGTCACCTGAGTGATGAGGGCCTGAGTGTGAAAGATGTTGAGTATGGTGTTTTTTTTTTTTTTTAAGCTCTTGATATTAAGAATACTTGACAGCATTTAGTAGTTTGAAGGTCTGGGTCCTGGTTTTGCAATCCAGTTCAGATCCCAGGCTTCCACTGGTTCAAGTGCAAAACTTAGCACTCGCATCAACAGAGAACTCTACTTAGAAATGCAGGTACTGATCATGACCTTCAGACTCCTCTAATGATTTCATAAACCCAAGTTTACCCAAATTTGGACATGGGGTATGAAACAATTCTGTGTAGCTTCCTGAAAAAAAAAAAAAAACAAACCAACCTGCTCTGAAGAAGGGTTAAAAATGAAAATAAAAGAGCCCAGATGCTAAATTGAGCAGAAGAGTTAAAAACAAACCTTTCATTCCCAGACCACAGGACTGAGGTGACAGAACAAGGCAGTGTTTCACAATAACTGGTCAACAGTAAATTTCCTGAATACTTTACACAATTGAACTAGTTTAATTACTGAGGCAGAATAGTAGAAAATCCCTTTCATTTCAAGCACTTGGAAGCCGTGCCAAAACAGGGTACAATAAGTGATTTCTAAGCATTTTGCTTTTACCTCAGAGCAAGAAAAAATACACAGTGCAGACCCTTAGGTGAAGTGGTACTGCAGGCTGGTACGCAACTTTGATGAGCTAAAGCCATGATTTTATGCTCCTGGGTAAAAGCTTTGAAACATACATACACACCCAGAGCACGGGATTTCAGCTACAGCCCTTTGTGAAGCCGTTTTAAAAGCAAACCCAACAAAAATCAAATAGTATGGACTGCTTTTTCAGAGATGATTTTACATGGTAACAGAGTAATGCTGCGCTAGGGGGGAGCTGCCAGAGAAAATAAATAAGCAAACAGTGCTTGAAGTACATGGCCATCAGGGTCAGTTCCTGCAGACAACCCACTTAATAAACATATCTAATCTTCAAAATTACCCTCTTAGAGCTGCTTATAAACATGCAGGTTTTGTCTCCATCACTACTAAAAATAATCCTCGACCATGAAAGGCAAAACAAAAACCAGCAAGGCCTCAGAACACTTCTTCAGAAGGATGTTGATTAATCTATATTTGTAAATAATAAATTCGGAAGTCTGGGATGTTTACAAACTTCTTAATGACTTCTGTTTAAGCAAATCACTGGAAGGTCTCAGCAGCTAGCTCTGCCTTACATCAACTTCAACAACTCCACACAACACAGAAGCGGTTCCAGTAGGGGACTCCAGCTAGGCTGCATGTGCTGCATCCACACAGACGTTTGTCTGCACAAGAAATGTCCTTACACTCACTGGGAATCTTTCTGTTAGCAGCATGACCTGAAACACAGAGCTGGGCAAACCTACTTGCCCTTAATAGTTTGAAAATACGGACACTTCGTAACCTCTCAAACACCTGGAATTTGTTGGCCCCACACAGCACCCTATGGGCAGAAGAATTTTATATTTTGGTTGTACCTGTCTTTCACATCAGCATGGGACTTAGCTCCTAACATGTTTTGCAGAGTTCCATTTGATGTATGTGAGTGAATAGAATCAGAGAGGCAGAAATAGCTATCAGAAAGTATAGATCAATTTTCATTCGATGCGGTGTTAATATTTATCTGCGTATGCATCCTACCGCACTTCTTTGTTTGAAAAACACACTGGAAGGGGAAACGGAGGGAGGTGAATAAAGAAAAGCAGCTGGGAAGGTTTGCTTTTAGCTGTTCCTTCAGATGTGGGCTGCACAGAAAGCAAGGCAAACTCGGTCTATAAATATAGCAAAGGCCAACCCGCGGCATTTTGTGGCCTGCACAATAGCAACGCAGATGAATGAAAGTTCAATACTCTGCTCTTCTCAGCCCATTTAGAAACCATTTCCTTTAGCGGTCAGACCCAGAAGTTTGAAAGCTGCTGCAGACAGGATACCTGAATATTTTAAACCACAGACATTTATCAGCTTGTTTTGTTTTGGTAGAAGACTACTTTCCATGACAAAACTACTACTGAAAAGCGTGGCCATTTCAATCCCGGCACAACCTTGCAAGTACTAAGAATGGGATTTTGTAGATTCCAACTGCCTCCACGGAGACTCATAACAGTAATTAAATCCAGCAAGTATGACAATGGCTGAAAGAGAGGTTGTAAAACTTCCTGAAGATCAGCTGCAAAACCCAGTGGAAGCAGAAAGGAGGGTCCAGCAGGCTTGGTTTGGGAGTGTGACTCAGAACGCTGCTGGATGAGACCCTCAAGTCCCTTTCTCTCTCCTGGCTTTCACACTTTCTACACTTTGGTACAGATATCTGTGCTTTGTTACGTCTGTGTCTGAGGTTTCTCAGGTAATAACAGTATATTCAGCACTACTGACAAATACTTGGTTTCAGCTCTTCGTTATAAATGTCCCTGTCCTTCTAACCTGATTCCTTGTCTTCATAACATTACAACAATAATATGGCATAATGACAGAGGAGTACTGTGAGGTTTGTATTATTAACAGTTATATTTAAAATTTACAGAGGCAAACTGTGTTGAGGGCTTCCACTACATTATTATGCAAGTTTATCCTCATCATTTTCTTGTCCCTTTGCCACTCTTGTTTTCCCAGGGTACAACACTGCTGCAACTCCTTGCATACTGACTTTTATTTACCTCTGAACCGGGGTGTTTTTGCCATCAGGTCTTATAGCACCAACGTTAGCAGTAACTGTGTATCTCACTCACAAAGTGAGATTGGCAAGGACATAACCTGCCTGCAGTTTGTACAGTCAGCCCATCTGAACGGCTGTTGGCTTTATTACATTCTCCTAGAAAGTAAACTGCTTCAAAGACACATTAGAAATAACTTCACAAGCTCTAAAAGTATTTCTAGTAGGTCAAATTCTATTTACAATTAAAAAATACTGCTTGAAAGATACAATTGGCTACAGTATTCGTTAATTAGCAAGTAGGAAATGCTCAGTGGCAAATAGCAGAAAATATACTGAAATCACGGACTGCTGTCTTCAGGAAAGATGTTGTATAACAGTTTCATTGTAAGGACTTCACAAATTAGATGTGCTTTATAACAGGTTGCACAGATGTTTTGTCTAGGGACTTCCACCCACCATTATATGTAGTATGAAAAATTAAATTAGTTGTAATATCACCAGCTTATCCAACAGTTTATCAACCAACACTACACGGTAATGCCCTAAGGTACTTTCAGTCTGGCTTTACAACTTAAGTTATGATCTCAGAGTTGGCTGTAAAGTTGGGAGGGCAAAGTTAACAGGGAACTGTATGAGATGTGATTCAGCTCATTTATCTTTAAACAAATCTACAACAGTTTTAGAATATCCATGTTTCTCTGTAGCTTCAAGTTTTAGTTACTTTTAGAGACTTTTTAATTAACATTTACAATGACAGCATTGTTGCCATTTTACTTTAAATCTTTTGTTATCCTACTATACTGTGCTATTATTTCCAATGTAACAGCAAAATTGCTACTGGTTATCACCTTCTAGTTATGTTACCACTGTCAGCCATGGAAATGGTGTCAGAATTCACAGCGCCAAACAAAATAGTTTTCAAGGTCTAATTTAAAAAAATAAAATAAAGCCTTTGAAACTCACAGGGCTGCAATATTTTAGGAATAAACAAGACCAGGTGACCAACTATGTGTACCTCTTTGTGCGTATAATGTTGGGCAAGAACATAAAACAGATCCAAGCTCCTTTACTTAGGCTGTAATTTTTATCATTCTTAATATTACAATTCTTAATACTGCTGTTTTAAAACCCTGAAATACTCTGCACACTTTGTTAGAAGGGCCGTTCAATTGTATAGTAAAGACTTCTGGGAAAACAATTACATAGAAATTGATAATAATAAGGAGCATTTTGTACATACAGCTAAGGGTACTCACCTGCTTCACACAGATAATGAAAGGTGGAGTTGCTTCTCTGAAGTGACATATAGGAATTTTTGGTTTTGGTCTCTCCTGCAAGCAGAGCAGTCAAACAGTTAAGAAGATACGTGGGTACGTGTTTTAGTTTTAGGAGCTATTAAGCAGTAAAAGAGGAAAAGCTAATTTTAAAGACCTCATTTTAAATAGTCCACATGATCACATGTCTCCGCTCACCATTTCCCCAGACACTTTAAGAACCCATTACTCTCTTACCATAACCTTTCAACATAGCTGTTTTTCTTTGAATAAAGTTATGCACTACACTACACAGAGCTTAATTAAGAGCTTTCTGCTGTTGAAAGGAGTAGCTCTCATTCCCCTCCTCCAGGTTATCTGCCTTTTTGCCCTTTCCCCAAATGATTTCCTCTTGGATTTGACAACCAGGCAGGTTGTTATAATAGCCTATCAAATACTATATATTTTTTTCTGTTTTTCTTTTGAGCTGGTTCTACCCCTTTAGTGAGCTGAATCAGCTTAATGTGCCAGCAGAGAAGTATCAAAGCAGGCACAAGGCAAGCAGCAAATACAAAAGCAGAATCCTTCCCTTTCAGTTAGAGCTGTTAAATAGCTTATGCCCAACTGAGACTTCAATGTGGCTCCAAGGCTGCAGAATTTTCTAAGGATTCACAGCAGTTTGTAGTATAATCTTATTTATGACTGATCAGGGAGAATGGCTATATGTTAGCAAGACATAAGCACAGGATCTGCAACAGAAATGCCAATAGTATTACTATTAACTAGAGGTAGTGAGTCATATTCCTGGTCAAAATCCTCAATTCTGATTGCAGCTGGGAAGCACTCTCCCAGTATAGAGTTTGATTTTATAATTAGTCTAATCACAAGCTGCATCTGAGGAGATGCTCCCTTACCCCTCCTACAGCAACCTCAGGGTAATTTTATTCACAAGATAACATGCTGGAAAACTTCTTTTGAGGGTTCCTTTCTGCCAGATCAGCTAACTGAATTGTCATCCTTTAGCCACAAGACTGCTAGATCCAGTATAAACAAGGCAGTGGGAGCGCGGGGCTGAGGTCAGACCACCCCTGCAGCTAGAGCAGCTGAGCCATAGTGTCAGACTGCACTCCCAAGGACCTGACCCAGTGCCCAGTGAACCTGAGAGCTGTCATGTCACTGACTGAGGGACTGAATCTGGATGAAACTACTCCAGATCTTGGAGCTAATTGCTACCATTAAATTAATAGTGTAATAAAACAACTTCTTCTATGTGATTTGTTTATTGCTATCTAAATATCATTATTCCTTCTCAGTGGAATGAAGTGTTTCTGCCTACAATTTTAGGCTCGAAAGGAGCCTATCAGTTGAAGTCTTATTTCGATACAGTATGACTATAATTAATCTATAGATAAGTTACAATTTATCACTGAAATTTCCTTTTACTTAGTAGACATTAGACTTTAATCCATCATTAGTCAAATGCTACTCTCATCTAAAAGAAAAACTGTCAGAGAAGGCAATACTTTATGCCATCAGAATATATACATTTGTCTTTTTAAGCTGACTTAGTTAACGTGAGGTACTCTTGCCTGTCTGCTTCAACCTGGAAGATAACCTCTTTGGAAGAGGTTTGCTGCCATGACAATTTGTTAACAGTGGAAATACCATCTCACAAATCTTCATGTTCTTCCTTCTACTTTTCTCTTCGTTAGGACAAGAAGTTTGTGTTTGTAAGTCCTCCAACCCATCGCTCTTTGTTCTTTCTTGTGAGGTCTAGAGGCATCTCTATTAAACCCATTCCTGAAGAATCACACTTCGTGCTGGTCTCGATCTTACCTGAAACAGAACTATTCAGAGACAATTCCTCTATCACCATTACAGATGAGGTAGTCTCATTCCTGTGAGCAATACAGACAGGGATTCTGCTCTATAGTTGGCACTGTGGTATTAATCTTCAGCTATCTAGTTTCCTACACAGTCATGGCCTCCTTACCTCTAACCACTAGTCATGGTCTCCTACCAAAATGAGCTGTCATACCATATTAAAAATTTGTGATATATTCTTTCATCACATTTCTCAGAACAATTTCAGATCACATTAACAAATGCAAAAGGAACTAACCTCAGATTCTTCAAAAGTGTAGAATCCTTTTGCTATTTTCTTTTCATCAACATCACAAAATGCAGTTACCTGGAGAAAAGGAAGCAGAATTCTTTAATGCCATTCTTTGCTATCAGTGGGTATTTCACTTGGTCATCATGGTCTTGCTATGGAGATTAAAACATATTAAATCATTTCCATGTATAAGTGAGATAGGCAATGTTTGCAATTGGCTGTGAGCAGATTTCATGAACGTGAAAACAGATGCTGTATAAGAAAAAACACGTGAGATCATTAACCTCACATCCTCAGTGACAGGCTGGCCTCTTCATTGCAGCACTTCCACCAAACATTTCAGATTTGATCATACAAACCTTCCTTTTTCCGTCCAGCCCAAGCACATCACCTACTACAAGATACAAGATACAGTGCTTCACTATTGCTATGGATGCTCTGGTAATACCAGCTTCAGTTCTCAGCCATAACACCCCAAGTCTGCTGTTTATCTCTAGATTTTATCTCTGTTTTTCAACTGAGAATTCCAGCAGATTTTGTTGCTTAAATATATATATTTACTGCTGTGTTTTTGTTATTCTTAATGTAGTTATGGAAGCATTATTTATAACCCTTGTTGCCAAATATTTCACTTTTTTTTTTTAAACTTGCATTCCCCATAAATTCACAGGCATAGTAAAGGCCTGCAATCCAAAATACACAGTGGCCTCATTTTGGAACCATTAAACCAAATGTCAGTAACATTTTGTAAGACTTTTAAAAACAAATGTAGCTATGTATTACTCTCACTTCCTTTGGATCTATTTGTATCATCTGCACAGAACTTTTACACTGAAGCAGAACGGTGAAGGTATTTAAGGTCTTGCAGAAATCAATTATTCTGGTGAAAGCTGGGTAGCAGCTTTCCTATCTTTTTAATCGTTGCATTAAAAATTGATTAACAACACTTAACATTGGGAAAATTTGAATAGCCAAACAGCTGTATATTAATTTACTAAGTTAGAGAAGCTGCAGAAGGCTGCCTGGCTTTCGGTACCTACATACATCTCTCTCCCATTCTGCTCCTTTGCATAAGATATTTTACCTAAAATGACCTCATTCTTTTTGCACAACAGGGGACACTGACGCAAGAGCATTGGTGTCCTAATGCTGAACTTCTGCATTCTTTATTGGTTCACCAACGAAGAAAAGAATGTTAAGAAAACATTAAGTTTTCACTTTGGAGCTGAAGGAGTAGCTGAATCATGTTTCAGGCCAGTAGATCCAGACTTCTGCTTTGGGTGCTCCTGATGCAGGGGTCACACTAAGGACACAGCCCATGCTTCAGACTTTACAATGGAACTAGAGAGGGAGTGCAGAGAATTACTAGGAAGCTAACAGACATCACAGAAAGTCTCTGTGGCTGATGCAGGCTGGCTTAGACAGCCCTAATCACAAACAACTTCAAGAACAAAGAACCAGCTTCCTAGGTTCTTTTTTTTGTCTCTGTGCTTGGACAAATTAATACATCTCCAACTCTGCTTTCCCCAGCCATCATTGTAACTTACTGTAACTGAAAAAACAGAAGGTGTGGGCTGTAGATGAGCAAGAATTGAGCATAGTAAACTTCATTCAAGATTTCTCCTGGTAAGTATCTGCACATCCAATTTTCAGTGGATTCAGCCACCTTAAATCTGGTATCTACTGTATTAGAAAAGAGGCCAGACTCCAATGGGCAAATCTTCTGACAGAATGTACACCATGTGGGTGGCCAAAATGTAAGTCAACAATTTTTCTGCCACACACTATTTTCCAATTAAAGAAAATCTGTCTGGAGACAAATTCAGGACTTGCACACAGTTGTTTATTCAAGAAGGGGAACTCAAGGCATCAGGCTTACTTGAGATATTTATGTTAAGCTATTAGGCTTACCCAAATTGCCCACTTTTCTCTTGCACTAATGGGCTCATATCTTGCATCTCCTATGAAGTTCATCTAACCATACAGGAGCTTCTGGGGAGGAAATTTTGAACTATAAAAGCTATAAGACAGTCTCCAACTTCCCCCCCCCCTCCTCCTCCCAGCAAAATACCTCATCTGCAATGCAACTGACAACATGGCATCACTGAAGCTTACTGTGCCTTCAGGCCACACATCAATTTTAAGGAAATAAACAAATGGTTTTGCATTTTTGTTTTGAACAACACACACAAATCTGTACAGTCACAAAACAAACAAAAGATATTGTTGTTTTTCTCAACTAAAAATGAGAAGACAGCTATCTATTTGTGATACACAAGCTACATAATTACTATAAGTAATAGTTATAGGTTGTAACACATTAACAGTGGCGTAAAGGGAAAGGAGAAACAGCTTTTTCCTTCTTAAGAGAATATATACATGGCTCTAAAGATCAGTTATTTTCTCAAATCTAGGGGAAAAAAATTGGGGAAGGTAAAAGCATGTCTCTGGCACAGTGCAAAGGGACAGGCTTGGACTATCAGACCAAGGAATCTTCTCTATTGCATTCTCTCTCTGTCTCCTACTGCTCACACAGTCCTCCATGCATTTTAAACTTCTACTGACCTTCCTGATTCTACTATTTATAATTCTTTCACTCATACTTGTATAAAGCCTTGGAAGGACGTTAATATACATCTCTGCAAATGTTAAATCAATTTTGGCCATTCGTGTCAAAACAAAGCAAAGGAAAGCATTATAATGTAAGTTTAAATAGATACAAGTAATGACAAACAGACCAAGGGGCACACAGAGGCAGAAACATCTTCAGCAGGCCGTAAGAGGAACCACAAAGACAACAAGCAATTCTCAGTCACAGTCTGACTGATTTCAGTATCAGGATGTTGCTTTTATTTCACCCAGTTAGCATTATACCACAACAAAAGCTGCACCTCTCTCTAAATTCCCAACATGCATGTCATGTACCCATTTAAAGACACTACTCCATTAAAGACATCATCATCTTCCCTCTTTACACATAAACTTCCTGAAAACAACATTCATGCCAGGATCCAACACAAAATTAGCTTCTAAATATTGAACGTACAAAGCTCCCCCTACTACATACAAAATATAGCTGCATTTAGACATAACGCTATGGGAACCACTTGCAAGTCTCTTATTTCTCTAGGACACATAACTAGGAAAGTTATAGCAGGAATTTTTCAGGTATGCATGCCTCACAATCTATACTGACAAAATGGAAATTCAAAAAAATGCATCTTCGTGTCGGCAAACAGCAGAGAGGCCTCCCTGCCATATTTCAGCATGAAATATTATCTGTGGTCCAAAATAATGAGTGGTAAGATAGATCCTTCAGTTTAGGATGCTTTATGCTTGGACTGAACTGAAGGTTTTAAAGTCCATCTGTCTCCCTTTGCTGTGTGAGCTCTCTTTTACAGGCTTTCTATCTTGCGCTCCGCAGTAAAGATGGGTGCAATATTCTTCCCTTGATTTCTCTGAGCGCTCCCCACTTCATTCTCTCATATTGTCATTCACATACTCCAGTTAAAATGCTACAAAACTTAAGCATTTCTTGCTTTTGGGAGGTAGCATCAAGTACACAGCTATGATGGTTTTAAATGGTAAATGAGCTAGGAAAAAGAGCATACAAAATACTTTCTTGAAGCTTTCAGTTTTGCCAGTGGTGGATAAGATACAGAAATTTCATGGGCTGGATGTGTACAATACTGTTTCCATGCCACTAATTAACTGATGCTTATTTCATCCTTTCCCTCTCCTTTTCTGTTCGCTACTTGAACTATTTTCAGCGATCGGAAATGACACAAAATGTTAATGCTTAAGTTCTCTTTTTAGCTAAAGTTTGACGGAGAATAAAAGAGTGGACAAGACAGCTCAGAAACCCTCCAGGCATATGGAGTGTCCCAAAAACATTTGGTTTCCATCTTCAGCTGCAAATTATAGACAAGACGGATGTGCTTTAAACAAAAAAAGGTCTGTTCGACTTCAGTCTTGCAGAAATGCTAATACTAAACCACTGTCAACTGTGTGAATCAAGAAGGGGGCAGACAGGAAACAGAATTTCCCTAAGAATACTGAGATCCTGGTAATTAATTCATAAATAAAACCTGACTAGTTGAATAATTTTTTTCCTTGTGTTACTGTTTAGTAAAAATACTGAACCTTGGATCTTTGCCTGAACACTTTGGAAAAAAGGCATTAATTTACTGTTCACCACACAGATGTCTAAAGGAAAAGACAGAATATAGCTTAGGTGTTTTTTTTTTCTCCTTTGATACAGTCATAATTTAACTGAGACAAATAGACTAAAGTCATAATGTGTTACTGAGCACAAACAAATAAAGACTGCTGCTTCCCAGCATAGCCAAAATTTTGTTTTCTGAAAAACACTGTTTGGCATGCAGCATTTCTTCCCCACACCCCAAACACTCCACAAAAAACAAGCCAGCATTAGAAATAATTGCTTTGTTTATGACACTATAAAAATCCTAGAAATGTATGTTGTTGTTCTTATTTCTTTTAGTGTATGTGCCCCACATTTCATGCCCCATTTTCATTTCCAATTTTGGAAAAAGCTCCACTGTGATTTCACATCCCAACTGAAATCAGTCTCATGACTGTTAATGAGATTCTGAATCTCAAAAGGATGCAGCAACTATGAAATAGAAGAGTGAAATTTCCACAAGTTTAAACTGACATAAGAAACTAAATTTAGACAGTTAAATTCTACAGCTTTGGCAATCTGACTTGCATTTCAGAGTGTCTTAGAGACCTTTTAGGATCACACTGCTTTATAAAGGTCACATTCAGAACAGGATTTTCAGAGTAGAATGTGGTAACTGTACGATAATAGATTCTATTTGTAGATCATAGAATCACAGCATGGTTTGAGCTGGAAGGGAGCTTTAGCTCACCCAGCCCCAACCCCTGCCACAGACTGGCTGTTCCCCTCTTTGAGCACCTCCAAGGGCACCCTCAGCTTTCTTTGAGCAATAGTGCCAGGGCCTCTGAATAAAGGTCTTCTCCCTCACATCTGACCTAAATTTCCCATTTTTAGATCTGTCATTCCTTGTCCTGTCACAACACTCTCCAACAAAGAGTCTTCTAGGGGCTGCAAGGCCACAATGCGTTCTCCCTGGAGCCTTCTCTCCTCCAGGTTGAACACCCCCAGCTCTCAGAGCTGGAGCACCTCTCCTATGGAGACAGTCTTTGTGCATCCTCATGGCCTCCTCTGGACCCACCCCAACAGCTCTATGCCCTTCTTGTGCTGGGGGCCCAGACCTGACTGCAACACTTCAGCTAGAAGTAGAGGCAACAGCAATGGCTATCTCTATTTTTCTCCTTATTAACAGTATACCTGAAAGCTTACCTTTTGTTAAAATAACCTTTAAAGAGTGAGAGAGGAAAAGTATGCTACTGGTTCTTAAGGGATAGGCAAGATGAAGCAACAACTATTTTCCACCTTTACTTCTATGGGATTTTAGAGTTTAGAATAATAATTTATGAATTATATTGCAAATTTTATGAATTTATTTGTTGAAACTGCAGCAGCATAATCCTTTAAATAGAATTTGTAGAAGTGAGATGAATTGCATAGACAGCCTTTTGCCAGTGTCTAAGAACCATCAGTATATCCTTTACACTTTATTTCTAGCTGAGATGGATATTCACTTTTAGAAAAGCCACGAATAAGCCTGAACTACAACATAAAACCAGGTTTTAATCACTACAGATAATAACAATAATTTCATCAGAAATTAGGTATCTAAAGAAAAGACCCCTAATTTCACTCAGGATGACCATAAGCCACTTTCTGAAGCTACTTATTTCTGTTGATCTTTAAGAAAACCTCTGAATGTATCTGTAGATAGCATGCTGGACTTACTGGTTAAGATTTGATTACTCTATACAAGATATTAAGATCAGGCTGCAACTATATTGTAGCAGTAGCTTTCTGCAGTACATTCATATTTGGCATGTGCACCTGCAGCTGGGTGCCACAGCCAGTAATTGATGAGTTAATGCTCTATGCAATACTTCAGTATCAAACTGAAGCATACTACAGTATGTGTAACTATAGCATTGACAGAAACAAAACAGTATTACGACCTGCAACACTGCCAAAGTGTGTTAAGTAAGGGTCAGCTGGAAAGAATATCAAAATCCAGTTAGTTAGAACCACGCTGTCAGTGCCAGCACAATAAAGAATTAAAAGTTGTTCATCACTGAAGGAGAGGCAAGCTTTGATCCTTCAGCAGCCAAACAGCACAAAACCCAATGTTTTTCTTGTCCCTTTTATCTTCTCTGCATCTTCAAATTATCACTGTGTTTGCTGAACAGGATGTGAAGTTCTGAATGAGTCACCTACAAAACGAGGTGACAAACATAACACAGAACTACAGAGTTGTTCTGCCTCAGTGCCAACCTCTATTTAAGTTTGGTATTATAAAAAACCCCAAGACCTAAGATGGTGAAACACTGCTACAAAAACATCATAATTCAGTTTCCCCATCACATCTCATAAATCCCTACTTGCACAGTATTAAAATAGTTTTAACTACTATCTCCTCCCTTGGAATTTATTTCCTAATTCTTATTATTTTATAGATAAAAACTTGCAATGGATGCTAGTAAATGAGAGAAATTCACAAAGTGCTTTGTTACATGCACACTGCACTGCATGACCAAGATAGCTGAACAGATCTAACAGACTGTTCTGTCCTCTTTGAGTGAGGGCAGATTGGACTGATTGGAGACAGAGCATTTAATATTATTTCATACAGTTCACCAATTACCATGTGATATCAATGACAGACTATGGTACTGCAATATTAATCTGGAAATTCAGGTTCAATTCTTGTGTGAATGCCTCCCACTTCTAATTATTAATTTCAACTATGGATACATACAGATTCCTTCTTTTATTCCCCCCCGCCGTGTGTGGCCTCTGGTCAACTACATTAACCAGGTTTATGTATATGTATTTGTCATTTTGTCTTCCCATCCATATTTTTAAGAAAGGAAAACACATTTGGTAATAAAATCAATGTTCTGTGGCTTTTTATAAGAAACAGCCATTTGACATTAGACCTAAAGCCTTTATCTAAAAAAAAATTATTCCACAAAACAATATTCTATAAAAGTAAGGGATTTAAACTCAGACAAACCTCCACCCAACTGTAAGTGACCTCCACATTTTCAACTGATCATAAAAGGTACAACATGTACAGCACTACTTGCATGATCCCCGCACAGCACCCTCTTTTTCAAAAGGAGGTTACAGCCTAACTGCTTATCAAAATACAAACCAGGCTGCTCAGCATTTGACAGGGACCCATGTAGCATCCAATTAGGAACTGGGCAAACATAAATACATGTACGAGTAACCCTAGACAAGGTAGTTCAGTACTGTGCCATGCAAAGTGTTACTTGATTCACCTGGTGCACCTGGCTACTGCAAAGGTTACTTACACATCAGTACCATAAGCAATGATAGTGCCTATGCTACTGCTATGCTTAGTCACCAGCAAGCAGGAACAACAGTGTCTATGTTGAACTACACACAATACGCTCTAGATAATGTAATAGAGCATTTTGAAAGTAGTTCATTAGAATATTGAGAATTTTTCCAATTTATACTGGTAATATTTTATGAGAATGCTACTATGGAATGTAGGAAGAAGCAAGTGGTTTTGCACAGGTTTTACCAACCCTTAAAATATACCTTTTCCCGATTAGCTGGTGACAAACTTCTGTAGAGCTTCCTGCCTTGCTTGCCAGCATTCCAAATAGTGAATGACATCCAGGAGCTCAGGACTCTATCCTCAAGAAACTTGACTCGGTGATTCCAGATGGTTTCCCTACAGAATTAGAAAGAAATATATTGTTTATTTATACATTATATATATATATACACACACACACAAACCCGATCAAAACAATTCACACAGAATACAAAAATAGTAGCAATTTCCCAGGGCCACATCTAACTGTTGGCAGAAAAAAAGGAAATTCTGTGGAAGCCCTTGGACAATAATCATTGAGACCAGAAGTCATAGCTGTCATTTTCAAGAACTTCAACATGGTAATCAAATCCAACACCGACAATTCCAACTGCCCACCAACACGTTGTTTGCCCATTGCCAGACACCAGATGAACTGCCCTATAACCCTGCAGTACATACAGACAAATTATCTCCTAATCCCAATTCTTCAACGTTCCACTTGCCTATACGTTTATTCTCCTTTCTCAATCTAAGCTTCCAATCTCACAAATTCACTACTCCAGTCTAGCCAAAATAGACGGCCCAATGCTACGTGTAAAGTCCAAACACTATGGTACTCAGCTCAAGTCTTCAGAAAGTCAGTTTTCAAAGCTCAGGATCAGTAGACAGTGGTACAACAACAAATAATTAATGAACTGCAGAAGTTGCACACAGCAAGGAAACCACCAGGCCTTACACACAACTCAGCACTTGCTAATGAGTGCACACGTTAGACCAAGTGTTTTTATTTTGAAGCCTCCCAAGTATTATTCAGCAACAGTACAAATAACCAACTATGCCTTCTTTTGAAGATGACCTTTTTAAGAAATAAAGAGCAATAGAATTTATTATCACTTTTATTTTTGAAGAAAAAGTGCTATGCCTTGTGAGATACCTTAGAATATACTTTAGAAACGAGCAGGCTGGCACATGTCTGGGTCAAATTACACCTTCAGGTCTTCAGATTTGTAATACATTTCACAGTATGACTTAAGCCAAGTGGTTGAGGTAAACAACAGTGAGATGAATATCAGATGATGAGCCATGTGTCTGTAGAACGAGTAAGAAGGGAACACGTAATATCCTTAAATGCCGATGGCTGGCTGGGATCTGCAAAAGGTTCAACGTATGAACTCAGCAAGAGAGGACAACTTCAAGGCAAGGATTACATTCATAGCCTGTACATCCTAACTGACTGAATTAATTGTCTGACAACTGTGACATTATTCTTTTCTTTGTGCACACCTCCTATCGCTTTCAAACGTTTACGTATTAAAAAAAAAATCTATTCCCACCATATAATGTAATATTTAAGACTACATAATTTACAATGGTTTAAAGAAACCACCTGCTCTCAAGAACATCTGTTTAATGTTCAGAGCTCACATCATATTTGTTAACCAGGAACCTATCTGATACTTATAAACAGTGCTCCAGATATGATGCACCGATTTCCTTAATTTATGGTCTGACAGACAAATCTAACGAACATCTCTTGAACAAGACACTGTGTTGAAAAGTGATTCTGTCAGAAATTCTGAAAGACATCTAGCTGCTTATCCTTGCTGAAAACATTTCTTCAAATAGGCTTTTCCACTTGACTATAATGCCAGAACACAATACAATTTAGAACAATTGTTACAAATCATTCTACAACTTTAATAGATCTTGTGATTCAAAACGCACACTATTTCAAAAAAAATATCCAGGACTAAATCACGCATTTATGAATAGTCATTCTCTGAAATTAAACACTAACAGACTTGTTGTTTCCTTGTCTTAGGAAATACACATTTTTCCTACCAATACACCTTCTACACAATTTTAAGCTCCATGATCTTCTGACGTTATTAAGCTCACATGAAATTTATGCATCAGAATTCTCCAAGAATATGTTGTTTCTTTTGCTTTAAATAAGGCTTCTAATTAATGAGTCAGCACAGGTTACCACAGGGCAGCTGCAATAAGTTTCAACCTCTGCTGTCTACCTGGCCAGGTCCGATCCCTGGTTTCTAAGAGCAACTTGCCATATAAAAATCAAAAACCATTCACACTTCCTTGATAGTAAGAATCCAAACCGTGCAGGCTGGCAGAGTCAGGAATAGGAGCTGCTGCACCCATGTAGCTCTGAGTCATTCTCATCAATGAATCAGGCCGCTCTCTTCATTGCTATGTCTCTTCTGACTATCCACGTGTATCCTGTATGCATCCACTGTGATTCTCTTGCAAAACTATACATACACTATACAGAGATGTATGATGATCTGGCATTATGTCACATCTTGATTTTATGAAATGTTTTCAATTTTTTTTTTTCTTTTTGTTACGGATTATCAATTTCCACAAAGGCTGCACCAGATACTATTTTATTGTACCAAATGACTTTTATGAAGCATATCTCTGAGGCACAAATGTACACAAGTATAAAATTTGAGGCTATTAAGTTTACTAGGTAACAAGAAGTTTGTTAGCAAGCTTTTCTTACATCTTAACAATGGAAATTTTGTTTTCACTTGTGCCATTCCTCCACAGCCCTCATAGAACACAGGCATATGGATTCTTTCTGTGATTATTAGCCAGCTCCTGAGAGCCTGCCTCACTTCTGCAGGAGATCCCAAGCACAGCCAAATCCTTATATGGCTGCTTAGCACTTCATCATTGATTGTGGTGCGATAACTTGGAAAGAACTTCTCACACAAATAAACGTGCCCACGAAGAATTAGCCACTCCATATAAAGTTTTGAAGACTGAGGCTGTGCACCAGCACTTCAACTAATGGAAAAAAATCTTGGATTTGATTGCAAATCTCTTCTAATGCAACCACAAGCTGCATTCCTGCTGCAGAGCTTTAGCTGCTGCTGGCATCCTCTGACACTTCCATTTTTCCATGTTCATTACAGCATATTATATTCCCAGAAGGAAAGTTAAAGGAAAGAACTATGAAGGTCAAGCATTTTTCCAGAATCACATTACTGGAAATTCTAGAGCTTCTGCAAGTTTCTAAAAAGGAAGATTGTTGCTTTACACGTAAATGGAAAGGCTTGAAAACTGATTTCACTTTGAAACGTGACGTCAGAAGAATAACAGTGCATTATTTTCCAGAGGTACTTCAGAATATGTCCTATTGACTTGAGTGGCACAGTCAAGTTTCTTTCTTTCTTAAGTCTTAAAAAAGTCAAGAAAGGTGAGGAAAAAATAGGCAGCCTTCCAAGGTGTAAGAGGAATTATCAGCTAACCTCTAGTTGTGGGCCAAGCCTTCTGAAGATAGAGCTGACATGGAGAAGCTGGTCAGGGCATAGGGTCACCAGCAATAGAGCCAGGGTCGGAAAGAATCCAGCAAGACTTTCAATCTACTCAATGCTAGATGGCTAAAAGCTAGGAAAAATAACTGAAATTAATTCACTTTGAAAAAAAGAATAGATTAGGTGTCATTGGTCAAGAAGAGACTAACAACTGCATTTTCAGAGGCTATGCAACAAGAACAGCAGAGTTGCTGGGGAGAAGCCTAAAATTAGATATTTCTGTGCACTGACTCTCAGCAACTTATCACATGCCAGCTAACGAGCACTCAGAAAATCATCAGGCTGAAGCAGACTTACTGACCCTATCCTGTATATGATTTTACATTGTGTAACACAAGTGTGGGGAGTAAGCAAACTACACTCAGAGAGAAAAGAATGTGAAACTCAACATTAACCGGACCTCTGTTTGAACACAACAACATTGTTAGATAGCTTTAAAACCCAACAAATGTGTTTCTTAAATGAGAATTTGGGACTGTGTAAGTGAAGCCAATATATACAGCAATTATGAATTTTTGCTAGCATCACTATGAGACATTCTTATGATGAACTACTATATTTACTATAATCTCAAACTGAAAATGCTCACTTTTTTGTTGTTGGTTTTTAAATTGATTCCCCATATTGTATGCATCCTTCTTAATGAAAAAGTTAAGATATATCAACACTTAGCAATCTGGAGTTACAACCCTGAAAATCCTTCAGCAGTGTGAGCCCAGATGGTCACACAGATATGGAGTCAAGGGGAGGCATTTGTATTTGAGCTTTAATTACAGCAACAACTACAGACTTAATCTTTGTGAAAACATGCTCTTTATGAACAGTATCTCTCACGTGTTGAAGCAGAAGGTAGCTCATGGTGCGTCAAAGGGAGAGTTTCAGTTACACCCTTTTGGTTTCTGGTTCACCTAATCTGCCACATTTTTGGATGCTTCCAGAATAGATAACTGGGATTCCTGCCTTGAGGGATAAGGGAATGCCATTTTCCCATCATTTAAGAGCCAGTGCAGGTGCAACAGACGGGAACTGTAGCAACGTGCAAGGCATACTTAAAGAAAATGCCTGAAACAATCTAGAAGTTGTACAAACCACTTCTCACAGATGATTCTCACAGCTACTTTCAGATTTCATGTTATTACATATTCAAATAGCCATAAGCAAAAACCTAGAAGCTATCATTATTCTACATCATCCCAAAACAAAGCTGCTTTCACCTACTACCTCAGATAGGATTAAAGGTAAACACTTTGGTAGTAGCCTTTAATATCGTTTCCCAGCCTCTTTTCAATCAACAGCATTTTCTCAGCCAGAAGGTGAGACACGAACTCTTCTGATTACAGTAGCTGGCACCCACATTGTAACACAACTCTTAACTCTTGAAGTACACAATTTTTTCCTCACTTCTTTCATTTTCTTGTCATTCGCAAATATCAGACATTTTTTTAGTTTGGAAAAATCACTCTCATTTGGTATGCCCCTCCATCCTCCTAAGCTATGCAGTCTGGAAAGAAGAAGAGGAGCCAAAATTCTGCAGGAGCGAAACGAGGGTATTCATCCAGTGGGTGAGAAGTGTGCTCCTCAGTCCCCTGCAATTATTACCATCCCATCCACCCTAGCAGTATAACAATGGAGCTCTGTTAAAGTGTGTGCTGACCTACTGACTGAATACAGGAGTCAAGAAACATCTGCTCCATTCCTATTTTGAAATGAAAGATAATGTGACAATAAAAGCTATATGATTTAATGTCTGAGCTCTGTTAAACCTCACCATAATGTTCGACTCCCTCTCCCCTCCTTCCCCCCAGTGAGGTTACATAAGTGAATCAGCAGAGCAAAGACAGATGTACAAGTACTTGTGAAATGTAAAAATACAAGCCTAGTATCTGAAAGCAGTATTGAAATTATAGGCATTGATTATCATCCACAGTAACACTATAAATCTGACCTTCCCTCTACACGTGGTCCCACATGCTACTCAGGTAACACCAGACAGGAAGAACAGCTATTTAAGTGAACAGCCTCTGCTAGTGTTTTTTTTTTTTTTTTATTCAAGGCAGGATAACACAATTTTATATGAGGTGAATCTCACCTGATAGATAATCCAGAGATGGAAGAACAGAGAACTTTTTAATCACAGCGAGAGCTGGAAGAACAGACTCCCTGCAGCTAGCTCTTTTACAGCTAGCTTTGCATGCAGAACTCACAGTCCCTGCAATCCACAGGAAATTCAGAAATGAATCCTATTTGAACCTTGACCATACTGGTGAATAAACTGATTTTTTGGTCGCCGTTGTTCTGTTGAACTTCATGTGAACTTATTAATTGCCGCACTATATCGTACTACTGAGTTATTACATTTACACTGTTAATAGGTTCTATTAATGACTGAGTTCATCTTCAGGTCGTGGGTCATTAACTGAGGCATGGTTTGCATTGTGGCCTATTTTTCATGAAAGGCTTATTAAGAAAGACAGAGACTATCAATGTTAATGCCATTCGCTTTTCAGGAATCTAATGAGGTCATTAGTTTCTATGTTTAATTGAAGTGCCAAATGCAGACATAGATGATAAAAATGCAGTTGACCTCATCTTTACTACCGTTGTGCAGGAATACGTTACGACAGTATTCTCTGCTGCCTATTTCTGGATGCATGTTTTTGCAAGAAATTAAGCAGGCATTCCAGTGCTCATCAGCGACACGAGACCATGCCTCAAGTACCTCTAAAAGAACTGAAAGCGTGTTCAAACTAAGTGCCTGTTCTCTTGTGCTTAGATGACACTGGAAGCTTCTAGTGTCTGAAACCAGACGGTTTTAGTAGATTATGTAACTTTGAGTATTTCTGCAGAATAAGCCTTTACTATATTATATTTGTTCTGAGCACACAGCACATGAAATTACTACAAATTATTTAAGCATGCTTCAAATTTTCTGCATAAAAGAGAATCTCCCAAATCTCAGTGGGAATCTAAATCTGTTTTCTGCATTTCTTAAATTTCTCTTGACCAAAAATTTGTAAATTGCTACAAAGATTTGCTACTTGCCCCAACTGTCTGTCTTCATGTGCAACACCACTTAGAGACAAGTACAGTGTTTTATTGCTCATATTTTACCACACTGACTTTTGTCTTGCAATGCAGTACATTGTTTAATATACAGTTCATTTTTTCTCCCCTTTAGCAAGATAAAGATCTATGAATTTTATGATGTTTTTATTACACACCAAACTTACCATAGTACTTCTCACTATAATGCCAACTCTGATATTCTATCAGATCAGTGCAACAGATTCTGTAGCACAGAATACACACACCCCTAGGATACAAGCTGTAAACTGAGATAGTACGATTTAGATCCAAGAGATACAATGTGGGATTTTTTTTTGTAGTAGTAGGCTGAAGTTTCTCAAATCTTGTATCATTCATCCACATTCAGCGGGTATTCATCATATACTTGAGATGAGATTTCAATGAAATAGATTATATTTTTGTATGCATCTAATGAAATCTAAACATAGCCTGCACTTGGTTCAGATTCTGTCACACACACAGCATTTAATATTTCAGTCTGAAACCTCCAGGGAGAATGCAAATAAGTTTTTCTTCCTGCTTCACAGATACTTTCACCTTTAGAAATCTGTTCCAGAAAGATCCTAATCATAGGAAAAGACTTAAAGAACATTGTTTACCATTATACATACTAAACTAAACAAAATTTTGCTTGCCAGAATAGCTTTATATATACACTTTAGCAAGTCTGAATATGTGGGATCATCATTTGTCCCTGAATAATAATGAAAGACATTTGTATAAATTGAAATCAGTTTATAGGAGTGCCCGCTGTCTTTGCTGAAGGACTGTACATGTACCTTTGCAAAAGCAAACTCTATTAACTAGCTCCCAACTTTTTAACTTTTTAAGTCTGAAATGAGACATAAACCTTTAAAACTATCAACTTTCCTGTAAGTGCCACTTTTCTCTCAATATATTAATCTGGTTCCTGGCTTCCCACTCCCATATCCAGACTTAGGCTAAAGCTGAGAATGCAACAGCCAATGACAAAGGCAAAGTGTCAGAAAACTGCTCAAATAAAACACCCCAACGTGACAAAGACTGCGAGAAAAGGCTGAACATGCGTTACAAATTGGAAGTGTAAAATGGGCAAATTAGGGAAGACCCAATTTCAATGCTAAACCTTTGTGGCGAGTCCCACAACAACGCACGCTGTAGCATTCAGAAACAAATGCTGGCTAGCCTTTTACAACTTAGGCAATAAACAGGGGAGCATGCCAGTACGAAGAGATCTTACACAAGTTCATATTTGTAAGTTTGCACAAAATACTGTTAACAATACCACCAACAAAAAGCCAGCAGGAAGAATGGCTAGCCTGCTTCTGAGAATGAGACAAGCGAGGCGCCAATTTGGACATGCAAGCTGCACATCTGAAACAGCTTACAGTGTTTCCACATTCTCACAGTGTGTTGTAATTCAGGGTGCTTGTGCCACACAACCTTGTAGATCCGAATAAGCAACAGCTTGCAGTAAATTCAGAACAAACTCATTTCCAAGAATAAGATGCTTTCCCACAGATACAAGCAATAGTCTTCCAAGAGTCCCAACATCCCACGATGCGTGGCTGAAAAGTTTGCAACTAGCTGCCAAAGTGATCATGCACACAAAAGCAAAAAACCAAATGCCAATTAAAAAAAAATACCTTGTGTTTGTTTACAAAATCCAAAGCGTATCTTCTATTTGTTAGGAATGACTGTTTTAGTATTTACAGTAACAATATTGTGATATACAACTAAAATGCAAACAAAATGTTTTACTACTCAGTGCTACAAAGCCATAAACAGGACTGACTGAAGAGTGTGTGTCATTCATCAGTAAGAAAACAGTTTACCACTTTTTTTTTTTAACCACTGTAGTTTGGTTGTGAGACTCTTAAAGGATAACAAAACTCAAACATTTCACGAGTGTCAAAACCTAAGAGAAAGAAACACTTTTTTGTCATGACTTTGGCTCAGCTGCATTACTTCTGATCAGAAAGAGCACTTTTGATAGGTAAAGCACTTAAAAGAATCAGCAATCGACAGTTTAGCTTCATGTCAAAGGGTAGAACAGCACTGTAAAAGCAGCAGGCAACTTACAAGAAAGCACCTGAGATAATTACTCCTACACATCCTCAGAAGTATTTTTCAAATCTTGTTATCTGATTTAGATGTTTTAGACTTTTTAAAATATGGAAATAGTATTTGTAAGTGCTGCAAGTTCTCAGATCAAAGATCTGGTTTTTATTCACTTTCCTAAAGGAGATTTTTGTTAGTGTTAAAATAGGTTCTGTATACTTCCTTAAAACCAAGACAGTTCTTTTTGAAATTAAGCTTTAAAATAAACAAAAATGTATCTATATATGTGTGTGTGTACGTATATATATATCTTACATTACAGTTCATACAGTAAAAGTATGAAAAGGAAAATCTTACTAAAAATCTTAGTGTAATGCGATTTTTTTTTTTTTTTTTTTTTTCCAATCATCTGCAAAGTACTGGAAAAGTTATGGCTTCACTGCCATGTTCAGTAGATGAGAAACATGATCATATTCAGTATTCTCAATTGCTTTGAGGGCAAAAAATGTAAATACTCGAAATAAGCAGAGAGGTTATTCAGGCAACTTGCAGAATCTCAAGTGATAAGTTACTGCCTCAGCTGAGTGGATGGGAACTGGAAGCTCAGAAAGCACTGCTGTAATGCAGTTACCAAAACTCCTGATTGCTCTATCTGTACCTATTGTGAAATTATTTCAAGAATGGTTGCAAAGACTGAACTATTTCTTGGAATATTTGTCCAATGTTAAAATGCTGCCGCTCCATGGGCATCAGCACCAAAGATTTCTATTCATAATTTCAATGCCAGCATTATATTATGTTCCTCAAAAACAGGTTATAACAAAACAAAACAGGAAAACTATCTTTCCATCAGCAAATAAGGATATTATCAGCATATTAAGTTTTCACTGCTCCTTGGCTTTGTTGTTTGTTTTTTAATAAAGCATTTGCACTGCTAATAATCCAAGATGAAGCTGATTTTTAAGTTCTACAAAACAAACCTCAACTTACTCAAGGACAGAATGAGTTGCAGCCTGTGGATGGTAACGGTACAGCAGAAGGCAATGGTTCACTCGAAGGACTTCACCACCCTTCTGGAGATGTTTATAAAAAAACAACAGATCTTCTGGAACACCCTGGAAGAGAAGCAGTTCTTTCATACCACCAAGTGACTAGTTGCATCTAAGTATATATTTCTGATAAATGAAATTATTTCTGTATATCTCCAGGAATTTACCTAATGGTTCACTAAATAAGCATATCTGTACAAAAGACAAAACTACTAAAAAAGCAAGCAGTGCTGTTTGAAAATGAAATATATCTGACCATAAGGACATAAGTAGAAAAATAAACGATCTCATTTTGACAGGGAAAAGCTTGACGCAGATCTGTCCCAAAAAGAGAGAACCCAGCTGCTTAACAATTCACAAAGCCTCAAGTAATTTATTGAAAGGGAACAGTGACTTCAGAAGAGTGGGTTGTTTCTTTTTTTTTTTTTTCCATTTTAATAGAATTAATGTTCTTTCTTTGGTTGCCAAACATTGGTCTCTACTTAGGAAAGGTGAATGAGGCTCCATAATAACAGACATGAACTTTCAATAAAAATAAAAATGGTTGGAATGAAGCAGCATTTGAAAAGTAAAGCATTTTTTCTTGCAACTTATTGCCATGTCATGTTCTTCATAGGGAACTGCAAGCAACAGTGCTGAAACTGCAGGGAAGAATCCTCCTAGAACTGTGGATCCCTCAGGCTCCCAGAAAGAATGGAAATGTCATAATTATATGCAGCATTTTCAACCTAAAATCAGAAAATCTTCACACCAGAGACAGCGTGTCAGAAGAGCAATCATATGGCACATAGTACTCAAGTCTGTCTTACATACCAAAGCTTAAACCCACCTTTAGTGATACAGTCCTGCAGTGAAAGTGAAAAAACATCCATCTACATTTTACAGTGGAACAACTTCTTGAAAATTTGAAATTTGGCTAGAACATCATTTTTCCTATGTTTAAACACAAATTTTTCTTTCCTCCAACTTAGTGTTTAAACATTCCCATAACTTTACCAGGCTCAAAATCTCTGATAGAATAATTTTGCCAATTAAGTGTAGAGTCAATAAAAAGCTGAAAGGTAACACAACAATGTGATAACTATAGAGAAGGAATGAGAGAGACAGATATAGATTTGTTTCTGTAGGAATGATAAGGGAGTCAAAATCCTCAAATGCAGATATTTTACTTCAGCACAAAAAAAAGTAATGAAAATCCATGGGGAAAAAAAATGAATTGAATTTTTTTTCGCCCATTACCACAGCTTCTGAGTTTCTTCCATAATTAAGAAAACAAGATTCTCCAAATTAAAGCTCTGGATACAAAATGCCTATGTGGTTTCTTCTGGCCCTCTAGTTACAACAGTAACACAGTTCAGTGTCTGTTTTTCATACCCACCATGCTGAGTGCTCATGTCAGACATGGTCTGGACATAGCAGTCAAGGGGGGAGGAAAGGGGATAAGACAGAATGGCTTTAAACCCAGAAAACAAATCCAAAACACTCAGCTGAACACATGTATCTTGGGAGAAATCATAACTAATTCAAGCTTCGTACTTCACAGCTCCAGACCTCACTATATAATAAATTGATTTAAGGCACTGAATTGGACCACGCTCCCAGATCCACAAATAAAATTGGTTCTGTTCTGCTTGGCAAGGGCAGCTTATCAGTAAAAGTTCATGTTTGTCCTTGTGAATACTTGTTTAATTTCTAGCTTAAGAGCTCAGATGCAGACAAAAACGTTTAGAGAACTTCATATAATTTACGATTTATACGAACTAAGTTGAAAGTCACAAAAGTAATCTGAGGGAAACCAGAGCAACAAACAGCAATCATGGCATCAGAAAAAAGCAAACTCAGATTCTTTCCATTTATCTTGTAGGACTTACTAACTTTTTCTTGTTCTGAACTTTAATGGAATTACTGAGAATTAACAGCAAAGTTTTAAAATTATTCTTTGAAGTATTTTTTTGCAGTCAGGCAATAGACTGAGTCAGACAAGGCACAACTGTGCTCTTTTTCCTTTTGGATATGGTTTACATCATTCAACTTAATCATTAATAGGTACATTAAAGAAGAGAATTTCTGCAGAAGCAAAAGGATCTTTCATGGTGCTGTTTGGTTCTGGAGAGCTCTTTTGCTTTAACTAGCAGAAATAGTATGAAATAAAGTATGCTCACTGCCAGGAACAAGCAGGTGCCTTGTATTGCTCAGCAGTGGCCTCTCACATTACAAAGGAGCAGCACTGACGTACATCTTTCAGGGGAGGAAAGATGTTGACCGTGTTACAGATCCTGCAGGGATGGGACTTCCTACAGCTCTGCAGCATGTAAAGTTTGGTGCAGTACAAGAGTTTCTTCCCAATTGAGAGGCATTATTGGATCCAGATGGCATTTTAAACACCAGGAATCTTTGTCAAACAATGCAACTGTCAAAGAAAAGGCTGTTTAACTGCTAAAAGGATATTTTAACATATTTTTGGAAAATTAATACCCAAAAGTATCAATGTAGCATATCAGCAATAACCTACCACATAAATAGTTTTCAGCATTAATATAATTATATCGCACAGTTTATATGTTACTAGACTACAAATGGAATTTTCCACATTATGGGCAAAATCCAACCATAGTGCTGTGCTGCACTCAGGGATGGCCTCAGCTATCAGCTGCCGATTAAGACTCCTAGGGGAAAAAGCAGTTTGCACCTGTTTTGTTCTAACCACCACACACCAGCCACATTCAGATTAGCAGTTCACTTTAATATGTTGCCTCTAAGCAAGTGAAAGATTTGTATTTATGCAGTATTTTGGACAGGTATCACTTGACTGTGCTAACAACTCGGCTGGATGCATGCAGGGACTAATTTTGTACAGGATGTCAAGCAGACCCAAATCCAGACTAAAGTAATTCCTTGTTCAGGGACAAAACTAGATATTCCATGATTCACCTCTTGCCTCCTCCCCACTGCCTTGCATTTCCCACTCCTGTGCACAGAACTGTGCATCAACTGCAACATCCTCAACACATGTACTTCATAGGGAGCTGCAAGCCAGCTATCAAGACAACAAGAAATTCTGGCTTCAAATGTTGCAGCTCCACCATCAGTAAGCAGTATCTTAGGCCCAGCTTACAGTGCTAACAAAAAGAGAATGGGAATCTGGAGGATGAAGGTACTGATCTATGAATTCTGAAGAACTTTTAATTAAAAAGCTGCTCTCTGTGCAATGCTGCTCCTCAGCTCCTGCAACTGCTAACACCTGGTGAGAAATCTGCAGCAGCTGGTGTTGGTCACTACAGATCTTCAGACTGAGAAAAGTTGGCTTTTAGGTCAGAGGGCAAATTTAACCACAGAGAAACACCAGGGCAAGTGTTGGATAGAATAAGGCAATTTCTTTCATTTCTCAGAGGAGCCTAAAGTTGCTGTATGGAACATATCACAAAAAAAGCAATTCTTGTTTCCATACTAACCTATTTCTTATGGGATCTTGGTGAGAGTTTGTTTCATCATCATTTAATTAACTTCTTTCCCACTACAAACTTTAGGGTATTAAAGAAGAAAAATTATGTTGCTGTTAAAGTAGAGATGCCTAGAAAACAGGTCAAATGGTGCATATTACAACACCTAAGGTTAAGCAGGAAAAAAAAAAATTAAACTCAAAGTTGTTCAGCACCAAAACAGAGATGTCATGTAAAAATTGAAGCACTTATTTTTCCAATTTTTCCAGGACTTATGGCAACAGCTGCTCAACAGTATTTCCTCAAAGTCTTGAGTGAACTGTTGGACTTATGGAGAGAACACGTAGAGAAGGGTGGTAGCATGAAGGCGAACTCAGAACATGGCCTCTGGTGAAGGAAATCCTCTTCCCTCAGAATCAAATGCTCTTCTGCCAGGCACTAACATCTAGCAATATCAAGGAGCTAGGAGGATCAAGGAGTTCAAGGAGCACTGACTCTGGGAAAACTACTGAGCTGTTGGAAGTGAAGACTAAGAAACTGTAGCTATTCTCTATTTTAAATGCGGAAGTAGGGAAAAAACAACTAAAGTAATTTATGAAGAATTATCTCAGGATTTTCATGACAACAATTTCTGTATTAAATTACAATCATATTTTGATTTTGCAGGGAACTTCTCACTGAAATTACTTATCTCAAAGAGAAATCACACAGTTGAAAATATTCCTTACTTCAGCTTCCATTAGAACAGTCACCAGGAGTATGCAAGCAGACTAATCACATGCTACATTAAATAGCTATGAATACCTTTTCCTCAGGATTATCCAGTATACTCTCAAGTCTCTCTCTGTAAAACTGCCATACCATCTTTTGGCTGCTATCCAAATCATGGCTTTAAATCATTTTCCTTAGTTATAAGATCTGAAGCCTCTAATGTTAAATTTACTTAGTTGTTTGGAAAATAGCAGGTTAGAAGAAATTCTTTCATCCAAATAAATTCAGATAAATTTGGTTAAAGATGATGGGAAAAAAATCACACAGAAGGGATGTGATAAATTCTAAATGGTATTTAATGATAGGCTAACCAAAAATGTTATTAGGCATGGGGAATGGAATGAATTTTCAAATAGTTTTACAGACTCATTTATCATTGGCTCCATCACTTTCATTCTTTTTCAGATCAAATACTGATCTCTGTTCAGCCTAAACTATCCCAAAAAACATCAGCATCTGTGCTTTCTCAGACTCTTACTCAGATAATGTCAGATTTTAATTTTTTAAGATTACATATAGTTTATATATTTATATTCTGTCAGTCTACCCATACTATTAACATAAACATCAAATCACAATTTCCTCCATGGAAGAATTATATTCCATTTGTACTAAGCACTGAAACATGAAGAACAGGTGTTTGGATTTAAACCCAAATGAGAAACGCAGCTTTTTGGCATGCAAATAGTTTAGCAGATGGAGAAGGCTGAAACATGGACATTTGTTGGCCTTTTTCTGTGTTTATTTGCAGCAATATGACACTTAGAGGTCACACTGTTAAATGGTAACTCAAAAATGGAGACAGAGGAGATCAATTAACACAGTGAGATGATGGGTCAGGTCAGAACATACAGGCGTATAGGTAAGATCATTAAGAGTCATCACTAGTTTGTAAAAGCACCAGTTCATAACAGGTCTATAAACACAGAAAATCTTTGCCTCAAATTCTTTTCAAATGGAAGAGAGTCATATAAATACTTATAGTACTAAGTGCTAAATGATTCTGTATCCTCTGACCTCATTGTTTATGACTAGTTGCACTTCTTGTTAGTAATCTGTTGAATGCCCTCCATACTAGAACTAGAGTTAATTTTGATGTGTTGGACAGGTCACAATAAGGACAAAAAGTTGAACTTGTCACTGATAATTTTTAGGGCTACTGTGCTGCTACAAAATCATTAGGACTAAGATTTTCAATATAATATATCTGAGTAACACACAACTACACATAGAAAGCCAAATAAAATTTTTTAAAAAGGCTTAAAAACACAAAAGAAAACTGAAGAAAGAAAGAAAACCAAACGTAAAAGCAAAACAAACAGACTAATGGTCTGTTTATCTTAACCTCTTGAACTTCATCATTAGGCTTGGGTTCTACTGTTCTTATTGTGTTTTAGCTTGCTTTCTTTTTTGAGCTAAGAATGCTCAAAAAAGTTATGTCAAACATTCTTCAGGGAATGAAAATATAATTATAAGGAATGATACTAAAAAAGAAACAAAGAGCATAGGTCAGTGAATGTAGGTGGTACTGAGGAACAGGCACCAGTTCTGCCACTCACCCGCCACATAATTGAGGGCAAACCTTTTCACCATTTTAAACACTTCTCTGCCAGTGCTTAAATTAAATTTTTACTGGCAGAACAAAGAATAACATTTGTATATCCTCATACACACACGTATGTGTATGTACACACACACAATGCATAGCTGCATTTAGAGGATACAGTGAGAATAAGAAGCAGCTGTAGTTTAAATACAAAAATCGGAAATAGCTTTAGCAGATCTTTTTAATGCACCATTAAAGCAATGCTTTCCAAAATCTCACTAAAACCACTGGAACCAAAACTCCTAAGGTCTGAAACACAGAATAGGTTCACATGAATCTGAATTAGAGTATCACTCACCTTTCCACCCTCATCAAATTTTCCTACTTGATAAAACCACTCTCGAGAACAGAACCAGGTTGGCATGATGACAGTAGGCCCATGGGAGGTAAACACCTACAGAAAAGGTGGGGGAAAAATAATCTTAAGAGAATGCCAAAAACATTATCTGTTGGAGAACAAAGTGAAATTTACACATTCATCCGAATTTCTGCAAATATTTCCTTATATAATTGATCTTCAGCAATTTTAAGAACTAATTCAAGCTTAAAGCTTAGCATGTGCTTTATGCCTAAGATAAGTTTATCATAGTATCACAGCCAAATAAATCTAACTTCCTGCTTCATATTTCTTTACATTCCATTCTACCATAAGTTGCAGAGCACCTTGAACTGTATTTCAGTTTTTGAGAAATGCACTAAAAGTGACAGTTCTACTGAATGTCCCACTGTTGATATTGGAGGAAATAAATTAAGAATAATCTTTAAAAGTTAAAGTTCTTACACTCTAGAATTGTAGGTCGATTTTGTGTTTCATATTCCTTGTGCATATATTAATCAATTTCATTGATCTATTATTTTTGCCAAAGGCTTTTGAAGCTTAATCAAGATTGAGCAAGTATTTTAAACACTCCCAGAGCACTACAGATTTGCTACCCAGTGCTACCTACCTTAAAAGGTTGTTGGATAGAAAACGCTTTAGGGACTGAGAAGGGAGTGGTTATTAATTTTGTCCTCTTGAACAGTGACAGCCAAGAACTATACAAATCAGTCTTTGCAGCTTTAAACAAACTTGTTGTAAACACAACTATGAAATAAAACAGAATCTGGATTTACAGAAGGTAAACCAATTCTTTTAATACAAGATGAAATATCTGGCCAAACAAGACTGAACTTGTCAAACAGTACGTGCAAAGTTAAGGCAGGATACTATTATGCCTGCTTCCAAGAACTGCAGGAAGTAAGAAGTCCAGCCTCATTTACAAAGGCAGAAGGAAAGAATGATTACTGACAGTCTTCAAAATGCTGACCTCATGAGCAGATGATTTCTTAGCTTGCTGTAGTGGCAACATGAATATTCCCATCTAGTTTTATATAGTTTAATATACAAAATATAGTTTAAAGTTTTAAGAAGCAGTGCATGAATGTAAATTTGGTCACATGCACTTAAGGCTTTACATTTTAAAGGTACTCCTCCTGACTTCAACCTGAGAGTTCCTCAAACTGTTTATATCTGGCAATTTCTACATCCTCCGATGAACCCGAACACAAATCCCAAACCTTATGCATGCAGTTCTATACAGACACTTAAATCAGGTCTTCAAGAAAATTGAAGAAGTCTAATAAAAGTCAATAGGTAATCTCCTCCCACTTCTCCTATGGCATGAATCATCTGACCAAATACAGGCATCCCCTTCAAAATGAAACATGCTATATTCTTACTCCACAAATCAACGGTACAACTTTATTGTCTAGGAAGAGATCACAGGGTGGCCCATTTGAATAAGTATTCTTTCATTATAGGCACTCATGTTTAGTCAGAATAATCCTACCGCTCAATGGCTATGACACTAACAGCTTGTTCATAACTGAAATACACTGGCTGCAGATGCGCTGAATGTCAAAAACTCCCCACAAAAGTCAGTTGGAGCTGAAAGAGTCAGAATAATCCCAGAAAATCAGAGCAGACATGATTAGCCAGTACACGGTTATTAGCTCCACACTAATTACAAGGGCAATTGAATATGGCCCAAACTGAACAATGACCAAACAGTAATCCTAAAAGAAAACAACAGTAGGGAGAAAAGCTAGGCTAGAATGCATTGCATTGAATCTAATTTCTGAATGAAAGAAAATCTTCAAAGAAAGCTTTGAGCCTATTGGAACACACAAAATGTGTTTGGAGAGACTAGAATGCCATTTCCTCAGCACAGCCAGGATCATCAGAGAACACAAGTGTGCTTAATCTTAAAGAGGTGGCTCAGTGTAATTAGTCATGCTCACATGCAAAGAGCACACATCCCAAATATCTCAGTCTGTGTTCCACTGAGGTATTTACTGAAATGAAGCTCAACAGAACAAATTTGAAACACATGCTGCTAACACCAATATCTTTCCTAAATCTAGGCTTCACTGTCCATCTCAAGAAAGACACCACAGTGTTTGGAATCTTACTGAGAGAGCTCAGACTGATGATGAGGTGGCTGCATCACTGCAGGTCACATGCAGGTTTTTAGCTTTAGCCTTTGAATCTGGAACAGCACATCAGATAAGAATCAACAAAAAGGCAAAGAAAGCTGCTTCTATATCAATATTTACAACGTGATGTCAAAATAAGAAAATTTAGATCTTTTGCCACAATGACATATACAGGCTAGCTTGTCCTTTGCTATGATTAAAATACCATTCTTGAGATTCTTTTTGCTCTCTGAAAGCTAACTTGAAGAGGAACTTCTGAAAGTTCATCTGCAAGAGGAGAAAACAGTAACTTCAACCTTCTGCGTTTTGGAAATTCTAGATTTCAGTTTGGCTTTGTCATTAACTGCTGAATGCTGTAGAAATGAGTGAGATTGAATTTTGGAATTCAGTATATTGGAAACCAATTTGGACCTAAGAACCTCTCAAACATGGAGAGTAAATGAACTCTCAATAATAGCTGTTAACTTACTGTACAATGTATGCTGTGAGGATTACTTAAGAAAATCTAATGAAGGCACGTTGTCAAAAACTATTTTTCAGGTATAACTCTATTCAGATTTAGAATTCCTGAAGAACATGGTGTTGTCACAATCAGATTGGAATTCCCCCTTCATCATTGTGGTTTTCAAGGTCACACAGGCTGCTATTTCAGCACTATATTTCTTAAATTATTCAGAACTTTTATTGTCATCTGGTTTTATTCCAAGGATCAAGTAGCAAGTATTTGAAACTGATTTACTCTGGTCTGTCCTTGCCAACTGCTCAGCTATCAAATTCCATTCAACAATTAGAGAAATCCTCTGGACAAAAAAAATCTAAAGAATATAGAGTTGATAAAGTGGGTTTCATTTGTTTTGTTTCAAAGCTGTCAGCAGCACATGTGATTCTGGTTCCCACTGATGTTCATTTCAGATCATGTCAGCATTCAGCAAGAAATCTAAGCTTCATTACAGAGAAAGGCATTCATGTGTTTACAGTAACTCTTCACAGAAAAAGTTCTATTTTCCAAATCAGCAAATCAAAGTCTACTAGCAATGTGCCAAAAGAATACATGCAGATGGTGAAATAACCTTATTGCTTTATGTTCTGGAGAATATAGTGAGGAAGCTAACAGTTCTCATACTTAATCAAGAGCCCAAATTGCTTTTCAATGTAAGAAGCTAATTCCCCCAAATTTCACATATAATTCTACTTGTGCTATAATATTCATGAAATATTCATTATAACAATACAGATCAGGATTAGAAATGATTTCCTGTGCGATGGTAGAAGCTTAGGTTGAAGCTTTCCAATACCCTGAGTCATTCATTTACACATTAGAGAAGCCAAAACAACATAGCAAAACAAAAATGAGGAGGCTGAGGGACACAACCATTTTCTGAGCTATAGGAGATGATAGGCTAAAGATTCATCACTTCTGATGTTAAGATACCAGCACATTAATTTAGTAGTGAGTGCACCAGGACTTCATGACAGCAGATTACTGGGTTTACAGTCAGAGTCAGGTATGTGTGTTGGTGTGACTGAAGAGGAACAGCAGCAAGGAAGCAAGAACCCTTGTCCTACTTCAGGAAAGTTTCAGGCAAATAATTTTTTGCAAAAAAAGAATTACAATGAATTTACTAAACTTTAAAGAGTCTAACCAACCAATCTGGTATGGGTTACATTAAGTGAATTTATATTGTATTGAACTTTTTTTTTTTTTTTTTACCCTTTCCCATGCTTATATAAATAATTGACTGTATCACCTAATCATTGCATGCTTCAATATCAGCTGAAAATCTGTTCTAAAGAAGCCAAGAGCTGGCAGAGCAAAAGAAATTAAAAAAAAAGATCAGAAATAAAACATGCTGTAACTCCATACTGAATGTTTGACATACACATAGTAATTCTGGTACAGGATTTAAATAATATAAAAAAACATTTTGCATTCAAAGTAGGACAATCCTAACTATACAGGCTAAACAGTAACACCTGGAAGTGCTTGCTTCCAGAGGTAATACATTAACTATGGCTTTATAGTCTAATAAATTTGTATTGAATTATGTTCTTGCTTTATGCGAGCTAGCTTACACCAGTCTCATGCTGAATAAGCTGACAGTACTGTGAATATCTCTTTATCTTAGTTGAATGCTCCTGGAACAGTGTGATAGCAAATACCATTCTTCTGGTCTCTTATTTACTAATGACAATAAATTATCCTTCTACTGAAATCTACAGAATGGAGGCATGCAAAGGGAATAACCTGTATGATTTTAGCATGTCTTGCATCTTTTTTCTTGTCTGTAAGTTGCTAAAGGTGGTCTTTGTAACATCCATGCCTTAACAAGTCTCTAATTCTTGGAAAGTTTCCAGTATTTAAAGAGTCAAGTATTTACAATGGAAGATTACTCCATTTAACAAAATGAAGCACTCTATACCAAGAGGTTGTTTACTTCCCTTGCTGTTTGTGCTGAGCTTACACCACCGAAAAGAGAAAACAATCTGCTTGAAGTCATATTCAGAGTATGCTGTGATTAAAACAAACAAGGAATCTGCTAGAGAAGCAGCACTGACAAGTGCTCATGTCATATCTTAAAAATGACCTTCCATCTGACAGTAGGACATGCCAGTTTGTATTGTAGCAAAGTAAAGACGGAAAAGGTCTTTCAGATGTGGAAACAGTTCCAGGACAGGACAGTTCATAGAAAGACTCATACAAAGACTTACAAATCTTCAGTGCTCAGACGACTTGAAAGTAGTTATTATTCATTTCCCATCCATAAAAATATCACCTATGTCCGTAACTTATTATTTAATATTTTATATACCAAAAATCATATACAGTATGAAGATAATCTAGTCCTGTCAAAGTCTGGAAAAGCTGTAATATCCAAGGAACATCTTCAGCTCTGCTAGCAAGGAGTGCCCATAATGAAC